CTATGCACATCGATTGATGATTAGACATAATCACGACAACTATATCCTTCGATATCGTCAGCTATTCCATCAATACATTGTGGATATTTATGCTAAGATTGAAAGTGAACGCTTGCGATTCATTCGATACAACCAGGCTAAATTACGATCGGAAGAATACATTCACTTACGAGATGCTGTTGTCTGAAACATCAACGGAAATTTAAACCCCAATGACATCGGTAATGCTTTCATTTTACCTTCAAGCTACATCGGCAGTTCACGGAACATGCAGGAATACATACAAAATGCGATGACTTACGTACGTCATTACGGCAGACCAGATTTGTTTATTACATTTACATGTAATTTGAATTGGAAAGAGGTACAAACTCTACTATTACCAGGACAACAAGCAATTCATCGTCATGGCATAACTGCACGTGCATTCAAACAAAAACTGAAATCCTCTATTGATTTCATTGTTAAATATTCAGTTTTTGGTAACACACATTGTTGGCTGTATTCGGTGGAGTGGCAAAAGCGAGGTTTGCCTCATGCCCACATTTTAATTTGGCTTCAAGATAAAATCTGTCCCGAAGAAATTGATCAAATAATTTCAGCCGAAATTCCAGACCCATTAATTGATCAAAAATTGTTTGATATTGTTACCAAACACATGATTCACGGACCGTGCGGTGCTTTCAACATGACGGCACCATGCATGGAAAATGGAAAATGTAAGAAGAATTTCCCAAAGCCGCATACGAATGACACTATCACGGATATTGACGGTTATCCAATGTATCGCCGCAGAAATGCTGAGAATGGTAGCCACACATTTGCGACTGCCAAATTCTACAAATCAAGTAGAATTTGACAATCAGTGGGTGGTATCATACTCACCATTACTTTCAAAAACGTATGAGGCTCATATCAATGTCGAGCTTTGCAGTTCCGTAAAATCAATTAAGTACATTTGTAAATATGTAAATAAAGGCAGTGACTTGGCCATATTTGAAGTACAAAACATGAATAAAAATGATGAAATAACACGTTACCATATGAGTAGATACATCACTCAAATAGCTCAAGAAGCTATTTGGCATATTCTTAGCTTTCCCATGCACGAAAAAGATCCTTCTGTCCAGCATCTAGCAATACATCTTGAAAACGATCAACGTGTATACTTCACTAAAGAAAATATTTTCCAAAGAGCGCTTGAGGCTCCAAAAACGACACTAACTGAATATTTTACATTGTGTCAAAAACCAGATATTTTCGGCCAATTCGCAAATACATTATTATATACTGATGTTCAACGCTATTTCACATGGAACAAATCAGGTAAAAAATGGGAGCCACGGAAGCAAGGAAAACCACATCCTTCCATTACAGGCATATTCAAAGCTAAGACATTGGGACGACTTTACACGGTACATCCAAAACAACGTGAGTGCTTCTATTTTCGTTTGTTATTAATGAATGTTCCGGAACCAACGTCTTTTGAATTTTTGCGAATAATTAATGGCCGAGTATTCAATATATACCAAGATGCATGTCACGAACTGCAATTGCTAGAAGACGATAACCATTAGGACTTAACGCTTGCCGATGCTGCGTTGACATTAACGCCGAATAACATTCGTCAATTGTTTGCAATTATTTTGACATGTTATCCATCGCAAGCACCTACTTTGTGGGAAAAATATAAAAATTGCATGACGAAAGACATATTGTACCGAATTAGAAAAACAGATCAATGCCGAAACATAGATTACACGACAGAGATGTATAATGAAGCGTTATTGTTAATTGAGGATTTATGTATTTTAATTTCAAATTTACCACTTAATTATTATGGTATGCCATCACCTGATCGCTCAGCCACCGACTTAGTCAACACCGATTTACAGCGAGAAAAACAATATGACCATAGTAATTTAACAACAATTATTGTGAACAGTGAGCCATTACTGATAGCTGAACAAAAAATTATTTATGATCAGATTATACTGACTTTTGCTACTGAACAAGGCGTTTTTTTTTTCTTGGACACACCAGGTGGAGCCGGTAAGACATTTTTAATATCGTTGATTCTTGCCAAGATACGGTCACAACAGAAAATCGCATTAACAGTTGCATCGTCAGACATGGCGGCTACTTTGCTAGATGGTGGGCGAACGGCACATTCAACATTCAAGCTGCCATTATATATTCATAACGAACCAAACGCAATATGTAACATAAAAAAGAAGAGCGGAATAGCTGCAGTGTTGCGAAAGAGTTCAATTATAGTTTAGGATGAGTGCACAATGGCTCACAAATATTCACTTGAAGCATTGCACATAACTATGCAAGATTTGAAAGACAACAATAAACTATTCGGTGGTGCTATCTTACTTCTGTCTGGTGATTTCCGACAGACCTTACCAGTCATACCTCGCTCTACTTTTGCGGATGAGATTAACGCAAGTTTAAAACAGTCGTTCTTATGACGAAGTGTTGAAACACTTTGATTGACCATAAACATGCGCATAAAGTTGCAAAATGATGCATCAGCACAAATACTTTCCGAACAATTACTAGATATTGGGAATGGTAGAATAGAACTGTAACCAAATACGCAATGCATTAAATTGCCAGACAATTTTTGCACTGTTGTTCACGGAAAACATGAATTGATTCAGAGTATTTTCCCCGACATACAAAGTAATTACTTGAATCATAACTGGCTCAATGATCGGGCTATTTTTGCAGCCAAAAATGTTGATGTTGACGAAATTAACTTCCAGATGCAACAATTGTTGCCAGGCGATCTGATGTCTTTTAAATCAATCGATACTGTTGTTGATGAAAATGAAAGTGTAAATTTTCCAGTTGAATTTTTAAATTCACTAGATATACCCGGAATGCCACCACATAATCTTCGATTGAAGATTGGTACACCTATTATTCTCCTGCGTAATTTGAATCCACCTCGATTATGCAACGGTACACGTTTGGTCATCAACAAGATCACCGGAAATCTTCTTGAAGCAACCATTTTAACAAAAAAGTTTAAAGGAGAAGTGGTCCTGTTGCCACATATTCCAATGATACCGTCAGAATCTACGATACCCTTCAGAAGGCTACAGTTTCCCATTCGTTTAGTTTTCGCAATGTCTATAAATAAGTCTCAAGGACAAACAATGTCCATCTGTGGTTTAGATTTGGAAAGTCCATGTTTTTCTCATGGGCAATTATATGTTGCATGCTCACATGTGGGAAAACCGTCGTATCTATTTGTGTTAGCTAATGACAGGTTAACCAAGAATATTGTGCACCGATTACTGCTGAATTAAATTGAAATTGAAAATATTTATACTTCAAAATAATATATATTATTGTTAATTAAGAATTATCTACCCTACCTACCTCATTTATAAATTTAAGTGTTACATGTTATCAACTAAAAACTTTGTAATTTACTCATTTAATACAAACTTAAATAAAAAAATTAATAAAATTTAAAATTCACTATTTTGAATTGATTTGTGCTTATTATCAACTCAATGAAAATTTTTATCAATCGTTTTCAAATTTTGACCTAAAGTTCAAATCTTGATCCCGTAGATTTTTATACCGGTTATAACGTTAATTAATAAATTATCTTTGTTTCATCGGTTTTACGTTCTTCCGTTTCACAATTTTTAAATCAATCTGATTCTAAAGAAGTTTTCACGTCAAAAAAGCTACAGCAACGCGTAGCCGGGGCACCCTAGTTCAATATAATTTTGTAAAAATCAATATGATTAAGACTGTTGATTAGGCTATGAACTCTCGAGTTCCAAGTGCCATATAATAATATTAATAATATTAATAATAACAATAATAAGACAAATATATAAAAAAATTAAAAAACAGATTTATATTAACATATTTTTATTTCTCAATGTGGTACATGGTCATAATTTTACTCGAACTGAAATTTGTTTGCTTAAAATTTTTGTCTTGATGGTCTTGTGTAGTTTTTGTTAAACTTTTGCAGTAATTAAGAATACACTGTCGAACCATGATTATTCATCACAAAAATAAGTCTGTAAACAAACGATAAGTTATAGGTTAGGTTTGTACATTTATACTTGTAATTATTAAATGAGTAAATTAAACTTACACTTATAGAAAACTACTAAGTGTTCTCGATAATTTTACAGTTTCTATTTTCACTATATATATGCACTTTGTTATCAACAAAACAATTAAATATAAATATCACAATAAAAATTATAAGTATTCCAAACTTAAACTGACCACAGCCGTTATTTATACATACTAAAGATAAACATGGCTGCGCGTTGCATCGGAAGCGGTCCAACAAAATTTTCAGCTAATAGGCACCGTGCGAAGTCATGGTAGGGGAAGCCGAAATAGACACTAGCGCACGCAGAGGATAACTTTGGCAGTAAAAGACGGTGTTTTTTATTTTCGTGTTCACAAAACATACGTGTGACAATTAATTTATGATATTTTTATAAAAATGTATAATAGTTTTCCTTTTTAGAAAATAAAATATGAAGAAAAGAACTGAATACTAGATTTTCGTCTACATCTGCGACACTTAAAACTCTCCTACATATATATTTATTTTTTTTATAACAATGTCACATCATACTTTATCTGCTTGCCAATATTATTTAAAGTTTGATCTACTGTGGCTATAATTTAACTTCTTATTTACTACAGTAAACGCTACAGATTTCATACTGTTTTTAAATTATTAATTATACTTACATTTTAGCGGTAATTTTTGCAACATAATTGCACAAGATTAAAATTTTATTGTCACGTGGTTTGACATGCAAAAAATAATGTTTTTCATAACAAAAATGAATTGTTATCGCAAAGCCCTATACGTTTAGATATTAAAAACCTCAGCAGCAGCGTCTTTTAGTTTCATAGATACCATGGCGCTACCATGGCGCTGCAATCACGCACGGTTAGAGCACTATAGATATGAGTACTCTCATCCGCCATTTTCAGTCCTACAGAGAAGACACGAGTATGGTTTTGTATAGTAAACACGTTTGTTGACACCAAGCGAGATTGAATTATTTATTGATAGTTGTATTAAATTTCATTAAAAAAATTATTTGATAGTTGAAGTTAGTACTTAATCTTTCTATTTATAACATTAAAAGATAGATTAAACTACAAAATACTATTCAGTGATTGATTTATAAACATGGATAACCTCTCTATTTGGAACGTTTCAGTAATAATTTGGTAAGTAATGTTTTGATATTACTCTGAAAAATAGATAATCTGTTTAAATTATAAAAATACTGGATTTGTTTAGTAATATTTATTAAATATATTGAATAACATATTACGAATAAAAGCTTAATAATTCTTATTTTTATTTTAAAACAGATGAAAAGTATGCCAGTAAAAAAGGAAGACAACAACAAAAGATCAATCGCTGCTAAAAGCAAAATGGTATTATATTCTTATTTTGAAACATTAATTATTTATGTTTATGTTATATAAATATGTAAATTAATTGTATATTTAAAAATAATAATTGTATCATTTTTAGAAGTATGAAAGTGGAATAAAATCTGTTGACGAAGAGACCATTATGTCTTTGCTTGCTGAAAATCTATCTNCACATCGACGGTATTTTCCCACGTAGTAACACCACGTGGTGCACTCTTATTGTATAATCAAATATCATCCAGGGTTTTTATGTTGCAAGGCTTTTCCCTGACGAGCCAATAAAAATAGGCATTGTTTCTTTGATTGGCTCAATCACGTGTTTTATTTTACACCTTAACCTAACCCTTTATTCTCCACTTCATAGCATATACAAATTGCCAGAGGACTCTGAGTTGAGGAATTTCGGCCATAACAAATAATTTTTTATAATGAAATATAAAATTGAAAAAAAAAATTAATTCTTACAATAAGTAATTGTAAAGAATTAAATGCAGCTTGATTATTCACTAACTTTTAATTACTAATTAAAAATTTAAATTTTATGTTTTTATTTAACTTACTAATATTAGAACACAAGCTATTTTCAGTATCATTGATGTTACTAAAATGAAGGTTAGGATACTACGTACTTTTGCCTCCTCACTGCAGCTACCCACATTATTCTTTGATTGATTTTCCATTTGGCAGTCGGAAATTTATAAAATTTACAATCACTTTTTGCACTCGTATTTTTACAATTTACTACACAGCAACTGCGATGGCTATTTCTACCCATTTTTTTAAAGATATAAAATTAATTATCACACATATGTTTTGTTAACTCCAAAATAAAAAACACCGTCCTTTACTGCCAAAGTTATCCACTGCGTGCGCTAGTGTCCACTTCGGCTTCCCCTACCATGACTTCGCACGGAGCGGATAGGGTCCCTAATGTAAGATAGGGATCCTGTAGGAGGGACGTGCCAAAGAATTTTATGGGACCGGAACTCATGTAGTCACGTGATTGCGCGCGAATGAATCAAATATTTTAAATAGCATAAAAGTTGTATATAGTAATAGTGAATAGTGTAGGGAGTAGAGTGGTGAATTGGTTTAGAAAAAATTAAGAAATAATGAATTGCATCAAATACAAAAAAAATGAACCATATTTAATAATAATTAAAAATTTATATTAAAATAGAATAGGTTACACAAAAAATTATTATAAATTCAAATAGAAAGATTCAATTAAGTTTGATTTGATAAAAGGCATTACAGTATTTGAAATTTAAAAACAACTTTAGGAATTTATACAATTTTGATAAATACAATTATCTACTATATATATTATATTTACAATTATTTTAATCACTCGTACAATTTGTTTTTAATTTCCAATATTAATAAATCAGCTAGGATTCCTGGGTATTATATGTTCATAAAATGGCATCAACATCAATTACCAATTTTCGATAATTGTAATAAAAGCTACTTTCTGGAAATATATTCCTAGAAAAATAAAAAAAGCGTATAATATTTGAATGATTAATATTTTAGTATTTTATATTTAGTATTTTAATATTTGGTTATTATTGTTTTAAATAGTTAGTATTTTCGTTAGTTTTAAAATATTTTACTAATCTTAATATATGTAAATTACGTGTCAAGTTGTTTTTCCGCAATGAACTCCTAAACTACTAAACCGATTTTAATAAAATTTTGCACGCTTTGTGCAATGTCATCCAACTTGAAAGATAGAATATTTTATATCTCAATTTATTAAATCGCAATATTATTTTATTGCGAATTATTTGTATATTAACAAAGAGTCATGATTATCTCTGTTAGTTCGACAAGATTCTAACAGATGGTGGTATAAGGTAATTCGTTGACTAGATTGAGTAAGCGTCCAATAGATGGCGCCATGTTAAAAGTACAAACGTTTTATGTAACCTACAATTTATTAGTATAACCACGTGTATTTGGTGCTGGCATAATCGGCTACGTGTTACTGAGGCGAAATAAGTTAAATTGACATTATCGTAAACGTAATACAATGAAATTAAATTTTTCTTGGTTTTGCAATTTTTAGTACTTTATTGTGCTTTTAGTGGTTTATTAAAACTCTTCTATTAAAATAAATACATGTAAATATTATTATATCATGTCACATAATTATATTATTATTATATCATTATAACAGGAATGAAGCGTTGTAGTCAAAGTATACTTTCTAGATGCCATCAAAAAAATCCAACCTCAATAATGCGCGGAGCAAAGAGGCACGACGCAAACGTGTTGAAAGAGCTCATCAGTCGGCAGAACAAATCATAGCAAGGAATGCGGCTCAAAGAGTCAGGACAGCAGAGCGTCGTGCACACGAATCCCAAGAACAGCGTGACGAACGTCTGCGACAAACTATAGCGAGAACAAGAGCGGCACGTGAACAAAACATAGTAGTCCAGTCAAAATAGCCCTGAAATCGGGTTTTTGAGCTATACGGCTGAAAAAATATGGAAATTATCAGAAAAATGCGTAGAAAACTGTGGGCAAAGTAAAAAAGTTCTCAACCACCGGGAAAGGGGTGAAAAAAATTAAAAACTACCCCAAAATACGATTTTTGGATTATATGTTGAAAATATCAAA